CTGAGCTGGGTTCCGTCCCTCCCTGCCAGGTCCTGGGCTCCTCTGCTGTCACCTCTCCTCCTGGTGACTCTGGCCGCCTTTGTGTGACGCTGTTTTCACTTTGCCATCCTGCCCGACAGCTGCCTTACAGAGCACTCCCTGACTGTTGTCCCCCAGGAGCCCCCACGGCTTTAGGGGGCCGTTACTGGGTTGTCGGGAAAGTCAGGACACATGTTTGCCTGGGAAAACACCGTGCGTGTCTTTCTTGACGTCCCAGCGTGTCATCATTCTTCGATGAACCCCACATAACCCTAGAGAGTGCCTGAACAGGAAGTAGGGACTCATGTCGGTATAATTTCCAGATTAATCCCAATCTCTAGGAATCAAGGAAGAGCATTTTGGCCCAACAGAGGTTTTAAAATGCTTATGGTCCCCATTAAACCATTTGTGGATAAACACTTTTCTAAACACTGGGTGCACATCCTGTTCTTCCTTGATCCTTCTAGGAATATCCATTTGTTCAGAGACTTAACAACTTGACTGTGGAGTTTCACATCATGTATTTTTTTTTTTTTAATACACCAGTGAGTACGTGTGCTTGCCAAAGACAGAGGGCCAGAGGCAGGAGAAAGTACCATCGGGCATGGCCACGCTGCAGTCCCTTCTGCATCTGTCCCTCCTCTCGGAGGTTTGGGCACACGTGCATATTTACCTGGTGTGTTTCCCAAGCGCCTGGGCCCACAGCCGCCAGGCATAGAGCCCGCCCCTAAGATACTCAAACTTGTGTATTTCAAGGACAGCAGCCGACTTTAGAGCTGGACAGTGTAGGAACAAACGGCATTTTGTTATCTTCTGTCGATGACGGAGGCCAGTCCGCACCTGTGAGGTGCACCTGTGACACTGGCAAGGGCTGGGCTTGCAAGCTCCTTTAAGTCTGGTGTTCCAGGACGTGGAGCGCAGAGAGCGGATTTCAGGACCGGGCGTGAGAGTGGGAAGCCACTGTAGGACGGAGAGTGTACCACTGGGGGACAGAGAGGACACACACAGTACGTGAGAACCAGTAAGACGGGTTAGAACATACTTTCAGATTTCGCCCAAATGGATTCATTCTGCGTTCTCATCATTTATAAGTTCTTCATCTGGAACTGCCCGGCACCTTCACAGCTTTGTTGATACTTGTAATTTCAGCAACTTAAACAGTTTTCCAGAACAGTCTAACCTTTCTCATTTTCTTTACTTCGACCCACAGTAAGGAATACATTTTATACAACCACCTAATGATACGCACGCTGCTATTCCCCATTCTACCTTTTCCCTGTAAAAATGCAGGATGGCTGTATTACCGTAGGTCAGACCCTATCAAGGAAGGTGTGGAGTCTGGTATCGATTTATCTCTGGTATTTTGCTGCCTTTTTTTTTTTTCCTTCCCTTCCTTCCGTCTGTAGATCCAAGCATCCCAGGACACATTTTTTTTTTAATTTTGCTGGAGCCGTTATGATTTCAGCTCCTGCTTTAAAACTGGGAGTGTCCCTAAGTGGTCCTCATTCCCGCCATGGTGTCATTTACTCAATACTCATTTTCAGTGCAGTTTTCTGTCTGGCATCTTCACTTTATCTTCCATGGCCCATGGCCCAGACTTTTAATACTAACATATGAAGAGCATATCACTATCAAAAATTTGGGAAGCAATAACCAGCCTGTTTCTAGGGAATAAATGAAGTAGAAACACCTGGCTGGGTGCTGCAACTTAAAGGTTATAGATTATTGCTGTTAACTCACGGAATTGGGATGTGAGAAGTACAGACATGCTTTCAAACATATTTAAGAAATACAGACACGGGCCAGCATGTGGCGTGCTGGCTAAGGTGCTGAACTACATGGCTGACTGTGGTTCAAGTCCTGGAACTGGTGGCTTGAAAATCATGCCAGGCATGCATACATGCCTGCCCAAAATCTGAAGAGGAGAATGGAGGGAAAGGGATTGCTGTGTGGCCATCCCCACTGGAGGGTGATTTCTCATTTGCCCCCATTTCTTTTTTCTGTGTCTAGAGAGCACACACATCCTATGGTAAAAAAAAAAAAAGGAAAAAGAAAAAAAAAAAACAAAACACAGAAATGCAGACGTTTCTTAAATCAGGTTGTATTTATTAAAAGCAAATAACAAAATACCTTGGAATTTGAAGATTATCTGTTGTGGTGGTTATGACCTAACAAGTTAGTCCTAAATAACAAAGTTAATCATTTCAGGGGAAGAATAAGGAAACTGTACATCTGAATTGTGCATCTACTGTGATGTAGACTGAGTTATGCAAGCTCGGAGACCTCAGTGTGTTCCTCCGAGCTTTCCACCATTAACGGCCCAAAGCGATTGTTCGAGGTGACCCCCGCTCTGTGTTTTGACCAACTGGTTCCTCGTTTCTTCTGTCTTTTTTTCGAATTTGATTTACCCTGTGGCAGGAATAGTTGAGCGGGGGCGTACGGCCTCGTGGCGTTGAATAGATGTTCGTAGAGTTGCTTAGCCTCGGGACACACGCTCAGGAGACTTTCCACAGAGGCCGGCGTCTGCAGTTGTCCGCACAGTCCATGCACCAGGCTCCCGCTGTACAACCTGTTCGGCGGGAGAACTCGTTCAGGGACTGGTCACTGCAGTAGGACAGCTGTCAGTACCATGGTTCAATGTAGCTGAACACTGAGCTCTTCCTGCTTAGACATGTTAGTAATATATATTTAATAATAATTTCTTCTTCAAAGAAAGGACTTTCACTTTGATTTGCTGGTGATATTTAAGCCCCCCCCCCATTCTTTTTACAGGGTTCATGTGCTCACTGGGAAGGTAAGAGAGACAGGGAAAGTGAAAAAGCATCTCCAGGGGGGATGGCCATGCGAGCTGGCAGGTGCTATGGTAGGTAAGGCAGCCCGACTCCCACGTGGCTGACCATGGTTCAAGTCCCAGACCTGGTAGCTAGCTTTCTCACTTTCTCTTTCTCTCTCGTTTTCTGGTCAAATTTTTAAAATAAATAAAACTTTATCTAATCAACAAATTAAACAGATCCCACATGGCTGGCTGTGTGGTTCAAATCCCAGCCCTGGCTGGCAGCCTGAAAAACTTGGGGGGGGTGTGCGTGCGTGTGCGCGTCCCAAACAGGATAAAGAAGTGGAGAAGGGATTTCAGTGGGCCGCTTCCTGCTGGAGGGTGCTTTCTCCCTCTTCCTCTCTGTCCCTGTCTTGCTCTGGTGAACATATGTGCCCTCTAGCAAAAAAAAAAAAAAAAAAAAAAATAGGAAAACGGATTGAGGACCCTGATAAACCAGCCAGCTTGTTATGGCTTCATTTGCAAGGCTTCATTTGGACGAAAGACCTGCTTCACAAACCCATGCTGTGATTAGCTGGAATCCCCAAGTTTAATACCCGACTCCGGGCCAGAGCTCAACAGCCTGGTGCCTTAGCAGTCCATATAGAAGCAGCATTTCATCAGGGCAGCCATTCAGAAGGCCTTGGCTACACTGCTACAAGAACAGTAAGGGAGCTGTAAAGAGAGATTTTTGCTATATGGCGGGTATGCTTGCTGGAGACCCAGAGAGAGACAGACAAAAAGTGAGAAATAACCCCCAACCCCCCCCCCAGAAGGGATGGCCACAGCACAATCCCTTCTACCTTCTCTCGGGAGTTTTGGCAGGCAGGCACACAGCCAGGGTGAGTTTTAAGCTGCCAGGTCCAGGACTTGAACTGCAGTCAACTATGTGGGAGTCCAGTGATGTAACAATTAGAGATGCCATCTGCTGGTTCCACATTAAAAAAAATTTTTTTTTAATTATTTTCTATCGGGACCAGCAGTTGGCATAGTATAGTGGCTATGTTGCTGGATTCCCATGTAGTTGACTGTGGTTCGAGTCCCAGACCCGTTGTTTTAAACTCAGGCTGGGCATGTGTGTGTGTGTGCACGCGCACGCACGTGCGTGCCCAAGATCCAGAGAGGAGAATAGAGGAGAAGGAATTGCGGCGTAGCCATCCCCCCAAGGGATGATTTCTCGCTTTCTGTCTTTCTGGTGACTGCACATGCCTTATAACAAAAAAAAAAAATAAAAAAGAAACCTCAAAAAACATTACTTGTGTTTAGATGTAGTCACTGCACATCTTTACAGTGTACCGCATGGTCTGGAATGCATGTGGGCCTATCAGTCAAGTCAAAGACATTACCACATACATGATCATCAACATAACTCATTTTTGTGTCTGTTAAACGTTTTTTCCCTGATCCCCTCCTCCCGGCCCCCCTATTTTGTTTTAGAGATTTGAGGTAACTAGAGAGGATTCAGTCAGGGAATGGCCTAAACTATTAACGGGAAGGCGTAAAGGGTCCACAGATGAAAGCTGGCTCATCTCCGTTAGAGGGTGTGGGATGAGCTCACGTGAGGCCTGTAGATGCAGCAACACTGCCTGCTGGTAGGAAGCCCTGCACAGGGGACTTAGGCACACGTCATACGTTGTGTGCTCCATGTCTCACTCCTGGGCAAGGCGCTGGGGCCACAATACAAGTGTAGACACGCCCCTGCCCTCCTACAGCTTGCTTCTGAGTAGAGAGCACACATCTCCAACCCTCCACCTCTGCCCATCGCTTTTCACCCTTCCTGCTTCCCTTAGCACCTCTGGGTGGGCAATTCCCGAGACACCCACTCGGCCACTCTGCCTGACACACATCCTGCCGCCATCACTTCGTCCTTTCTCACCCAGATTAAACGCAGCGCTCAGTCACCCCCGGCACACAGACTCAGCCCCCTCGCTGCTCATCCCTCCTTTGGACCTGCCTGACAGGGCAAAATTCCAGATCAAGTCCACTCGGGGATCTGACAGCCATCTCACTGGAATGGCTCCATAAAAGCGAGGACTGAGTAGTTCACTGTGCTGTAGACCAGGTAGTGGATTGAGCCTGACAGAATCTCTGCTTTACGTATACATAGCAAGTGCCTGCTTGTGCCTGCATCCGTCTGAACTAAAGTCTCCTGTGGTGCTTACCGAGTTAGGTCTGGCTCTGGAAGAGGAGTAGACAGCAGCTGATTGAGGTACACCCCCATCTGGACACAGCACTGCCACTGACAGAAGACGTGAGCCGTGTCTAGATCCAGTCTCAGCGTGCCTGGCCGCGCCTGCTGCTTCACTCTCTGGAACTCTTCGTACAACACCTTAGCACCATCCAGCTGCAGACCTTCCTCACCTAGACAGAGAGACCACCCAAGGGCATTTCACCACTGCAGCAGCCTGTACCCTCTCCACCCATGAGACTTGAAATGTTTTCCTCTTTGGGCTCATAAATGCCTCGTTGTGTAAGTTGAAATATTTATACTGAAATGCCCTGTAATGATAACCTAACTTGAATCAACCCCGAATTATTTTTTCCCTTGAAATAAGATCTTCCACTGTCTCCTACCTGACCAGAACCTTTTCTGCCTCTGTTACCCCTGAACCCTGAATCTGTGTATGAAAAATGCAAACGACTATTAAACATCATTTTCTTTACTGTTCTTTCACTGACCTTCCTTTCTTAGAAACCCCCACGCTGAGTGCACTTACTAGGTTGTTGGGAGTGTCATGGCATCTTTTCCCATGCAAAAGCGCATCATGTTTCTGACCACCCACTGTTTTAAAGAAACAGCCTGTGTTCCAAGCATACTGGAAAGTTTTGTAGGAGAAAACTATAAATTATGACTGGAGAATGTGGCAAATAACCAGCCACTTTACACGGCAGGATGAAGGGCAAGCAGCAGTGACCATAGGAGAGCGTTGTGTGTGTTACATCTGCATTTCTGCAGAACTGTTCGACAGGAGTGCACATAGTAACACCTGGACCAACTTGAGAGAAAGAAAAAGGAGGCCCACCTTTTCCCAGTTAGTGAGCAGCAAGGCACTGAGCCTGCCTGGGTGCAGTGTCCACGTTCCCTAAAAGAAAAGAAACAGACCCTTGACGTGCCCCTTCGGCTAGACTGGGCAAACGCCTGTCGCGAGTCATACTGTAGGTGTCATTTGGTGGAGGACTTGCCCTGAGCCTGTTCTGGAAGTGGCAGTGGGCCTCGGCTGACTTCTGGCTGTCTCACATCCCTCCGACAGGGAGTTTGGAAGCCTATACGGTCTTGTTCTTTGGCTTCTTTTCAAAGCGTAAACTAAGTACCAGCACCCCGCAGAGCTCTGCAGTGATGGAATGGCAGCATCTGTGCCGTCGCGAACGGCCTATAGCCCCCTGTACTGGCTAATGGGACTGAGGGGCTCAATTTTAGTTTAAGTAGACACGGGGCTAGAAGCTCCCGCGTTAGGTGGCAGTACTCCAGAGTGTGATGACGATCATACCTGTTAGATACTGACACATTCATGTTTTAAAGAGGATAACTCTTTATAGTCTCCAGTGCTTCGAAATTTACACATTTAAAGGCAGATGGAATTGTCTGTGTGTTGCAGAAAGAGACGTTCCTAGCTCTGTTACTACTTACACTAATAAACCACAGCAGAGAAAAGGAAGGTGACAGCACCCACATGTTGCTTACTGTGGGAGGGCTCAGCAGGGCCGTTTCTGGGCAACGGGAAGTACTTTCCTGGTGGTGTGGCCACTGTGCCGATGTGCTAGACACCGAGTGCAGAGCCAGCCAGCAACCCCGTGCACTCGGTTACAGCACGGACGCTACAGCAGGGGGGCAGCAGTGCCAGCGCAGATCACCGCTCCGCTCTGCACCCGGGGTCGAGCCCAGCTCTGACCTGGCACCTGCGAGTGTACACAGACGTTTACCCGATGAATGAGTCACATTTTGGTGCCTCCACTTCTAAGTTCTGATATAAGATGGGGATAAACAACTGAATATTTCCCTGTGTTCGAATGTGCAGAATTTGCATCCCACACGCAGGATGACCAGGGATTCCCAGTACCTACCAGGGCTGCTGACCATGGCATGCAAGGGCCCCGTCAGCATCCCTAGAAGCAAGGCTTGCAGATGGTGCAGCTTCACCTTCGCCTCCACGTGCTGCAGCCAGTAGCAAGTGATGGCAACAGGCAACTTCAGTGAGGCCGGGACTGGCTCCAGGGTGGTCTGTCCCACCTTCAGGGTTTCTAACAGCAGCGTCTGCCTGCTGTCCAAGGAGAGCTGGAAATGCACATGAACACCCTGCAGGTTACTCTGGGGGACGTCTCCCGAGCTCCACAGCACGAGGAGACTTACTGCAGATGAGTCTGCTGTGTGTGCTAGTAAACGGACTTTCCTGTGGGGAGGGGCAGTCCCACCCAAGGCATTCAGAATATTGAGGGGCTTAAGAAACATGGTTGGTGGAAGGGACACACTGCCTCTCCTGCTGCACACCCTTTGCTGAGTCAGTCCACCTGTGCAGGCTGGCGAGCATCTTTAATGCATATTCCACGGGAAGCTTGGTAAAAAGTCAGTACTGGGCCAGCAGGTGGCGTGCTGGTTAAGGCAGCTGGATTCCACATGGCCAACCATAGTTCAAGTCCTGGGCCTGGTGGCTTGAAAAATCACACCGGGTGTGTGTGTGTGTGTGTGTGTGAGGTTTTTCTTTCCCTTTCTCGTGTCTGTCTCTCCTCTGGCAACTACTTAAGCCCTATGGCAAAAACAAAACCCTAATCAAAGCAATCAATAGGCTCCACCCGGATTTTGATTGAGTCATCTGGTGTGAGCCCAGAAATCTGCATTTTACTCGCAGCCCAGTATTCCACGCTGAGAACCAAAGCTCTGTACTGCACCCTACTCTTTACCTGCAGTGAGTGTTTAGCACCCCCTCCATGGGCCATTACTGATGCTCCAGAGGAAGACACTTGGTTTACGCACACCTTGTGGGTGGGTGTCTGGTCCTGTCTCGTGTTCCTTCCCTGCTCAGTGTTTCACTGTCGTGCTCTCCCCCCGGGGCCCCAGATGCTACTTGCAGGCTGGAGGTATCCCCAAGGGCGGGGATAGCTAAGGGATGACCTGCACTATGCTGGGGACAATACATCACACTCACTTTTGCTTCTCACTTCAGAGTGGCCTTCAAATAAAAGGTCAGAAGTAAACAGCTATGAGGGCTTTGGGATTCTTGCTGAAATTTACCTTAATGAATCTCAAGACTTTCGAGAATCATAAGGGACCTTATAATTCACACACTTTTACAGAAAAGGAAATCAGAACCATTAAAAGGGCACCTTGGGCTGGCTCCATGACCTAGTGGTTAAACCAGCCAGGGCAGATCCCATATGGCCGACCTTACGGTTTGAGTCCTGGACCTGGTGGCTTGAAGAACATGCCAGGTGTGTGTGTGCACATGCGCTCCAAACCCTCACAGGGTGGAGAATGGAGGGAGACTGTGGTGTGGTCATTCCTTGTGGGAGTGTGTTCTTCCTCTGCCCTCTCCCACCTCTTTCTGGAAAGTGCACGCATCCTCTGGCAAAAATCCAAACAAACAAAAATACACTTCAGGGGAATTCATAATCAAATTTTAGCAGGGGGGGAAAGTTGTATTTCCCATGTCCGAGCAGCCTGAATATAACTTCTCTCTGGAAGGATGAGGTGGCCTAGTACGATTCCCAGCACTTACACCTAATTAGTAGTAATTGACTGAGAGCTGAAAATAGAGATGCTATTCAGAAATAAAACATAATTGACAAAATAGGTTTTGTTTTTTGTTTGTTTGTTTTAACTTTTACCAGAAGGTGTACGTACTGGCCAGAGACAGAGAGGGGAAAAGTAAGAAAGCATTCGTCATGGAGAACGGTTGTGCTGGAATCCGTTCTCTGCCTCTTTCTCCTTCCAGGACTTTGAGCATGCATGCACATGCATCCAGTATGTTTCTCAAGTTGCCATGTCTGGTGTTTGAACTGTGCAGTCCACCATGTAGGATCCAGCTACTATGACATAGGCTGGCTGGACAAAATAGTTTTATTATCAGTGCCTGAGAATTTTTAAAAGTACAGTGATTTCTAAATACTGTTCTTAATAATACTGTAATGCATTTTTAAAATTAGAAACATGTGAAGTGCTTTATAGTATAATCAATCATTCCTAATAGAATTACTATTTTTTTAAAAAAAGCTCCTAAACTAGTCAAAAATTAAAATGCACCAAATAAAGCTAGGAAAATAAAGTAATTCTTTTCTGACTTGAGGCTTAAATGATTGAATTCTGAAGTTATCACTTTTATGATCTTCAGAGATGTTCTACCTTTCAATAACTGTGGCCTTGAGCAAATTTTTGAGCTTTTCTGTAGTCTGATCCATCTTCTGTAAAATGGGTATTATAATGAGTTGTACAAGATGTTCATCTGAACTGAGCTTCTGTGAGGAGGGGAGCTATTCTGCTCAGAGCCTTCACTGTGACTTAGGTTTATCACTGTGACAAGTGCCTTTCTGTCCCCCAGGGGGAGTGAAAACACAAGCCCACAGGAACAGCTGCCGCAGAGGCAGAGGGGCCCAGAGAGGCTCGTGCCGGCGCTCTCCACCTAACCCCTCAGAACGGTCTAGGTCTACCTCGTGATCAATCTGTTAGCTAATCTGAGTGGTGTCTTGTCTATTGCAACTAACTTAACCAAAACGAAATCCTATGCCATGAGATTTCTGTGGGACTTCAGTGAGAGCTGTAGAGTCTAGCACAACACCTGGCACAAAACAAAATATTACTACATCATATGAATAAGAATAGGTACTAACAAATACTATTACATCGTGTGGATAAGAACGAGTAGGTACTAACAAATACTATTACATTGTGTAGATAAGAACGAGTAGGTACTAACAAATACTATTACATCGTGTGGATAAGAACGAGTAGGTACTAACAAATACTATTACATCGTGTGGATAAGAATGAGTAGGTACTAACAAATACTATCACATCGCGTGGATAAGAACGAGTAGGTACTAACAAATACTATTACATACATCGCATGGATAAGAACGAGTGGTACTAACAAATACTATTATATTGTGTGGATAAGAACAAGTAGGTACTAACGAATACTATTACATCGCGTGGATAAGAACGAGTAGGTACTAACAAATACTATTACATCGCGTGGATAAGAACGAGTAGGTACTAACAAATACTATTACATCGCGTGGATAAGAACGAGTAGGTACTAACAAATACTGTTACATCGCGTGGATAAGAACGAGTAGGTACTAACAAATACTATTACATACATCGCATGGATAAGAACGAGTGGTACTAACAAATACTATTATATTGTGTGGATAAGAACAAGTAGGTACTAACAAATACTATTACATCATGTGGATAAGAACGAGTAGGTGCTACTCCAAGGTTGCTGTATTTGTCCCTCCATGGGTGCAGACTCACATTTGTACCTGCTGTTTAGAATTATAGGCTACCTAGAGCCACACCACTGAGCTAAGTACAGAATTAATGAGTAGTCCACGCTGAAGGAAAGCCAGATGACAACAGAGAGACTAAAAGATTTCTCCCTGTTCTGAACACGGTAAAGTGATGCAAATACTTGCTCATCTTCACTTGGCAAGGGACATAATCCACTTGGCTACACTTAAGTGATTTAGTCTGGTTTTCACATGGGGAAAAAGTGTCCTGATCCCTGTTTCACACCACACACATTAAAAAAACATCAATGCGGGAACCAGCAGTAAGCATAATGGCTATGTTGCTGGACTCCCACATAGTCAACCGCGGTTTGCGTCCCGGACCCGGTGCCTTAAAACTCATGCCAGGCGCATGTGCGTGCGTGCCCAACATCCCGAGAGGAGAATGGAAGAGAAGGGATTGCGGCGTGACCATCCCCCCTGCGGGGTGATTTCTCGCTTTCTGTCTCTATGTCTCTCTCTGTCTGTCTGGCAAGCGCACGCGCCCTATAGTGAAAAACCTCTCCAAAAAAAAAAAAAAAAAAAACGTTGAGGGGTCAAGGTAGAGATTATAGGAAGAGAGGGACAGACCCAGAGCCAGAGGAGCTAGCTTTGAGTTTCAATGTCAAAACTCTAGCCCAGTGATCACCTCGTTGGTTCTAGTTTTCTCAGCTATGAACTACAGGCACAACAGCACCCAACCTGTTTGTGAATATACATGAAAGCGCTTTGTAATCTGTAGAGCGCTTTATAAACCTGCATCGCTGTTACAAAAACTTACCTCGGTCAGTCTGCTCAAGTCAGAATGGTCCTTGGGTAGCTCTACTGCATTAACCGTCGAGGTTCTGATATTTTTATTAACCCTTTCCACTTCACTGAAAGCAAGGGGCTGAAAAGGCAGTGCGTTCCGGGACGTATTCTGCAGATGTGGGGACGCACTCCTAAGCAGCCCATAGATGATCTGCCGGATGGGCTGGGATACTCTGTGGGCATTCGGCTGTTGCATGTTTTCCACCTGCGTGTGAAGGATGGTCCGTCTTAGCACCAAAGCATCACTGATGAAAGGAGAGAGCTGGCCTTTGGCTAAAGCCACTAGTACCCATTCTGGCAAACCCAGATTCCGGGCATCTGGACAAACATAGGTCCCCCGCTGGAAGAAGTCTTGCAGCTTCACCGGGGACTGCTGGTATTCTTCCATGGAGCAGCAGAGCAGCTCCCTAACATTTTCTCGATCTTTTTTTGGAAGGTATTTCAGAACGTTACTTAGTGCTTCAGTGGGGTCAGCAAAATGAGACAACCAATTCAGAAGCCCCAGAACTCGGTGGTGTCTCCTCCCCTTAGAACTGGTAGCTCCAAAAGGAAGCCGAGCTTTACTCAAGAACATGTCTATGACGGGGAGGTTAACATGGTCATTTCCACAGAGCACCGCGAAGAGCGGCAGGAGAGCTTTACTCATATTGCTGAAGTGACGGCAGAGTGCATCCAGAGAAAAGCACTTGGCAGGGATATAGTAGTCCTGTGTGCCCTCAAGAGTGCTCATATTTCTCCACTGGAAGCTATTCAATGGGCAGAACCCAGTTTTCAGGTCAAAAATACAGAAGTCACTATCCGACGATAACACAGGGCAATTCCAATGATTAGCAAGTGTCATAATGTCCCGGTCTGCTTCTGAAAAGCACTGGACAAAACGAACCTGCAGCTTGATCAAAACCTGTATGAATACCTCCCGGATTAGTAAGGGACACACACACCCATTCCCACCAACAGAAAGGGAATGGGCCGTCTGGATCTTTTCTCTAGCTCTGTCCTTCAAAGTTGTAAGCTTTTTGTCTGAAATGTCACATCCTCCATCTAACACAACATATGGGCATATATTACAAGCACACAGTGATTCAAAGAATTTCTGCACAACATCTGCAAAAGCGTCATAGTCCCCTCCATACCGGAGCTCTAAGTTCGAATTAAAGCACAGCCGGTGGAAAAGGGCATAGCCGTCGATGATCATTTTTGTGTCTCGCAACTTCAAATCGGTGAAGAACTCATTACTATGATCTTCCACAAAACTCATCAGTCCTCGAATACCCATGATGAAAGGCCGAAGAACTCCCTGCTTAAACAGAACACATTTTCACTGATGCACCAAGCCATCGCTCCCAGCACTGTTAATACCAAGTCCTAGGAGGTGCTCTCTGGCTAGAACACGTGTGTCCCAGCCTCTCTGAATGTTCTTAGTTCTCAGCCAACACTAGCTGAGTGCTTTTTCATTTTCTTGTTTTTCCATGTGCTACAAGGCACAAACTCAGTGGTTTCCTGTATTTTGATATTTGGACAGGGATGGAAGCTGCTATGGAAAATGAGTTAAAACTTATTACTGACACAGGGACCAGCACATGGCGTAATGGTTACAACACTGGACTCCCAGCAGTGAGTCCCAGACCCACAACTTAAAACCCAAAACTCAGCCATGTGTTCCTGCATGCCTAAGATGCAGATGGCAGACTGGAGAAGGGGGAGAGGCCGGCCATTCCGCTGGGGAGTGAATTCTCATTTCCCTCTCTGTCTCTCTAGTGAGCACACACACCCTGTAGCAAAACTCTGGAGAAACAGAAGCTTGTTACTGGCACAGCAGTGTAGCAGTTCGGCGGGCTTTGATGCTGGAGTAATAGGAAGCACATCGCAACACACCATGTGTTACCGGGTCAAGTGAAAAGGCCTAAGCTTTAAAATACCGCCCTTACCAGTTCCACAACAAATCGGCCCCGGGCTGGGAATCCCGTTTCTTTTGACACCACCTGGGAGCCGCTGTCCGACCGTGGGCTTGCGGGCCCTCCTTCGGCAGTTCCTGATGCGGGACCACGGCCGCTTCCCGCCCCCACGAGCCCGCCCACCCTTCGGCGCCCCGGGGCTCCCCTCACCCTCGGCGCAGGGACCCTCACTCGCAGGATCAACACTAATTACTCATTCTCCTTTGGCCACAGGCCTCAGACTAACCCCGTGTTAAAATCGGGGCATCTTATCGAGCGTGGGGTTTTGGGCATTAACTCTGAGTTGTGGTTTGGTGGAAGGAGGTGACTTCCGGGACCCCGGGACCCCTCCCCGCGAGGCCGGCCGCAGGGCCCACCTGTTCGGTCCTCCCGAGGACGCGCCTCCATGAACCGCGCGGCCAGGCCCAGGCCGCACGTGCAGCCCCGCTCGGGCGCGGAAGTCCCTGCAGACGGCGGGGCCCGGTCCCGGTCCCGGTCCCGGTCCCGGTCCCGGCCCGCGGGGCCACGCGCAAGTGCGCCCCGGAGAGGCCGGC